CACTTGTGATTTTGACTTCTTGGACTTAAAAGTGAGCAGCCTTTCTCTCCTTTTTTGTTGCTCTTCACTGACCAGCTTCCCTCGGTTCTTATTTGGCTTTGCATTACACTAGCAGTGGTGATGACCTAGAACTTGGTTTTAATTTTGAAACCAGCCTGCAGCTTGATTAATCAGATAGGTACCTGGGGGCTTTGTGGTCTATGAACACCTGTCTTAACTCATCTGTAATAAAATCTGTAATAAAAATTGGCAGTTCGATTTCTTTAAAAAAAAAAAAAATTTTTTTTTTTCTTCAGAAGGCAAGGGTCAGATATCTTCCACCTAGGAGGAGCATTGTCAGGGCTGAGCAAAATTCCAGTGATTTCCTGAACAGCACCAAGAGAGGCACTAACAGAGTGTTTTTAAGTTTTACTCCATGTCTGTTGCTTTAATTTGTGAACAAGGCTTTGCCACAGAGTAAGGACCATGATGTATTATTATACTCAACTCTTTTCATGTGAGTTGCCCCTGATCTGTTTTAATAGCCCCCTCATGAATCCTGTTCTTTCCTATGTCTATGTAAAACCTTGATTAACTCGAATGTATTGGCAAAGTAGGATGGGATGAGATCTTTTATTGGCTCTACTCCTTGTAGTAGAAACAAAAGGGTCTTATCCCATTGGGGCTGCTAGAACAACATAGACTGGCTTTATTTCTCATCTCTCATGGTTCTGGAGGTTGGATCTGGATCCTGGTGTGATGGAGTCCCGATGAGGACCTTCTTCCAAGTTGCAGTCTGCCCACTTCCCCTTGTATCCTCATGTGGTGGGGAGAGCAGACAGCAGCAAGCTTCAGGGTCTCTCTTGACTTCTAGAAAGGACATGAATCCCATCATCAAGGGGGTCATGACCTCATGACATCAACTAAACCTAATTACCTCCTAAAGGCCCCACCTCCAAATACCATCACATTGATGGTTAAGGCTTTACCATATGAATTTGGGAGGGGGGGGGGGAACACAAACATTCAGCCATTGAAAAAATACATTTTTTTTTACTGTAATTTAGTCATTTTCTGAATATTTACTGTTATTTTCCCAAGTGGTTCGGTTGTATCTCCAGGGTCACCACTTTGAACATCTATAATGGTATTATATAACAAATTGATTGGCAATTGGGCTAAATTATCAATAGCCTTCAGATACTACCTAACTTGGAAAGTTCGGGGGGATTGTTGTGCTAATCCATAGTACCCACTTGTTTTCTTAGGATTTATCTCTCTCTTTTAGGAAAAAAAAAATCTAGTCAACTAAGAGTTGGTTAATATAGGTCTTAGAGGACTCTGTGATTTCTTTTTTAAACATGGGGTACTCTCCTTACATTGTCACCACCTAAACTACCCTCTCCTGTATGTTGTAACAAACTGTGTGTCTGTCTGTGTTCTGTTTGTATGATAGCTCTTATTTCATGGGCATTTCCCTCTCTTTTATTATCTTGGATTAGTTGTAATGGGCTGCCTTCCAAAATTTGTTTTTTAAGCCATAGGTTTGGGGCTCAAAATATATTTTCCCATGGAAACAAGGATAATATTGTTAGACTAAAACTTTTTAATATAGGTTGAACAAAGTTCACTAAGACCTTCCAAGATTCTAGGATTGAACACGATGGTTAGGCTGAAGTTCTCATGAGGCTTTTTGGCTAACCATTTCTTTCTCATACCTCTGCCCCCAGTGTCCCAGTTCTCTTTAAATCAGAAAATGCTGCAGTGAGAAAGAAGTGTGATGGTGTTTGGAGCCATCTCTCGGCCACCACCTACCTTTTGCTTTTTTGGTAATGGGTCAGTATCTGCCCACTGAGAAGGTACAGATAGGATGGGCTGTGAATTCAGATGAGCCAGCTAGATTTATTGTACTCAAAGTTTATCCACTAAAGTTTCTATATTTATTTTGGGAACATAATAAGAACTCCTGGTCTGACATTAATTAACTTGCAATGGAAAGGAGAGCTACTGAAGAGAAGAAAAGAATTTGGCAGTCCATTGAACTGACTTAATTATAAAGCAGGCTTTCAAATGAGTATTATACAAATCCGTGATATCCATTGGTGCTGAGTGCTCGCAGAATCAGCAGTCAGAGTGGCTTGGGTTTGCCCGAGAATTTGATGTTGGCGATAGATGAATGGGCGCCTGTTGTACGAACACTGAATGTAAAAAGCCCTCAGGTATTACTAGGAAGGAGTTGGGGAGAGGATGACAGTTAGAGACCAGCATAAGGAAAGCAGTGTGTCACTGGGCTGATGTTTCCATTCAGGCAAGACTCTCTGACTTCCTACTCTGTAAACTCAACATACACTGTCAGTTTTGAGGACTGTCTGGTATCAGGACAGTGCAAGCATGGAAAAATCTACTTCTGTCTGAATCGGCAGAGCTGGTGTGTATGCTCTGGCTCCAGATGTATAGGTTGTGGAATTAGACAAGAGGTGGAAGGGCAACTCTGATCCAGAACTTAAGAGAGTATTAATCATAATCATAATTAATCATGATAATATCATTTCCTCTAACTTCTTTGCCCTTTAGTGTCAGAGCTCCTCAGCAATGCAGAAAAGTTGAGATTTTTAATTTTTTAAAAGCATTCATTCATTCATAATTCATTTATTGAAAAGTTGAGATTTTTTTAAAACTGAAAAAACCCCGAAAGACCCTACCCTTTCTAAGGCTTAAAGATAATGTGGACTCCTACAGCACTGCCCGCCTGTGTAATGAAACCCCTGCGTCTGAGCCGCTGAGCCGGGGCCTCCTGTGTCGTCTGCTTCATGGAAGTAAGTTCATAGAGCATTGGTACAGCAAACCCAGCTTTCACAGGAAGCCTTGGTTCACTGAAGGCAGTAAATTGATAACTTGTAGCTCAACCAGTAGGTGCTGAAAAGAACCTGAGATTCACGTACCTTTTCTGCTTGTTTCTCCCGCTCTCTTACCTGTGTCGGCATCGTGTCAGACTCCTAAACTACCCTCTGCTCTGCTGCTCCCAAGAATTGTTGGCTCGCAAATCAGAATAACTTACCCTAAATCTTACTTTCCTTTCAGGATCCCCATAGTTGAGGGTTGGACAGGACCCAGTTCTTTTGGCCACCGTGGTGACTGCTCCCACTCCTATCCTGGTGATATCGCTTTGCCAGAGTCACACGATATCCCAGGGCAGTGGTCTCTTGGCGCTGAAATGAAAGGATGGCCTTAGATGGTTCTCTTTCTCCCCCCATCTCTAAGGGTCTGGAGCTGAACTGGCTCAGACTGAAGACAGCTGCCATCTTAAGCCTCACAGAGAATGATAGTGGCTAGTCCTGGAGGGGACCACACAGGTCAGGTAGGCCAGGCTTCTCATTTAGTGGATAAGGATCTGCTCACAGCCACATGCTTAGTAAGTTGTACATGGGTAGAGACAGCTTTGTCTTGATTTTGCTTTTCAGAGTTATTGATTAGCATTATGCATGATTACTCTAAAATTAAAAGCAATTTGGTTTACTAGGCATCCCTATGGTAAAACAATTCCTAACTTGAAATTTTCCTTGCTTGCCAAGTACTCTCTATAATGCTTTTAGTTAAACATGGGAACAGGATCCTTACAGGGTAAATGCCTTGGAATTTTGTTTCTTTAAAAAAATGGCTGTAAATTGTACTTCAAAGCTTGGCTAAACATGTGGTCAGTGCAGAGAATCGCGCAGTTTAATAGGGGTTCCATGAGCTGCTCCAGGGTTTCTCCTGGTTGCTGCAGGTTGAAAGTGTCTGACATTCCGAAGAGCATTTGTGCATTCGCGTGCTCCCAGCTTCACTGCACAGAATGCTTCTGACTTGTTCTGAGTCCCCACCCCCATGCAGGGAAGGTATTTCCAAGCTGTATTTTCATTTGACCATGTGATCTTGGTTTATTCACTGTTAATAAGATCTGCTCTGGTTGCTTTAAAAGTCTACGGTTTATACATGGTACTGGTCTCATTTTACTGTGTACACAGGGACCTCTGATCAGTGAGGAGTCTCTGTGACCTGCTAAGGACATCTTTGCAGCTGTGCAATCAGAAATAATTTGTTGACTCGGTGATTGAAAAAGTGAATTGCTACTGGTTGAAGAGACAGCACAGGGGCAGTACCGTAGCCATTCTCTCTTAAAAAAATCTGTTACAATTATTTAATATCTCAAACATGTAGAGAAGTGTAAGAATGATATAACACATTCCCTCTACTGTGGCTGTGAAATTTAGCATTGCACTCTCTATCCCTCTTGCCAGCCTTGTATTTCTTCATCTCTCTTTTGCTCTCCACCAAAGTATATAACTTATTTCACTTACTATCTATGCCCCCACTAAAATGTAAGTGTCATGAAGGGCAGAAAATTCTGATTTTTTGGTTCCCTGCCAGTGGCCTTGTTCACAGTATTCGCATATTGCCCAGTATTGATTGATTAAATGAATTTTTCCATGTTTGCTTCTTTTCATGGAGTAGAGTGCATTTGGGGGTTTCCTTTGCAGCTGCATACTTTCCCCCAAATCAGATCTTTCTCTTCCCTACCTCCTCAGAAGTTACTAGTATTGTGCATCCTTTAACCAGTATGTAGAATTGTCTTGAGGTGTTTGAGTTCTTTATATACATGGTAATATAACCTTTCTGGTTTAACTACATGCAGAACCTGGGGTGGGGGACAGACCCGGATAAATCCTGGTGTGAGTGGTAAGCACAGCTCCCCCAGACCCTCTTTAAAGAAGATTTTTGTGTGTGTTGACTAAATGCTGAAACAAGCAGTGTGATTCATGTACCAGAGGGCAATGAAGCATTCACATCAAAGAGTGAACCTGTCTCAGTTTTCTCAGTTGAAGTTTAAGAACTAGATGCGCTTAATGTGTCTGTGCCAGGAAACTGGCCATTTCTTTGCAGATTTCTCCAAGCAAGGGGGTGCTAATGGTCCAATCAAAAAACCTCATTAACAAGGTTTAAATGGCCTACTATTCTCAGTAAAACTTTTTCCCTTCCTTTAGTTGAGACGAGAGAAGATCGACCTTGAAAATACTTTGGAACAAGAACAAGAAGCACTGGTTAATCGTCTCTGGAAAAGGATGGACAAACTTGAAGCTGAAAAGCGGTTTGTTTAGTCTTGCTGTTCAGTACGGTGTGTGTGCATGTCTGGGGTGCTGAGCTGGGTGTGACAAGGATAACAGAAGGGGCATTGTGATGCCCTGAGTGATGCACTCATTCATTAATTTGCCAAACCAAAAAAGTGTTGACAGCCTTCTGAACTCTTCTCATGCTGGTCACCTCTTTATATTTCTCTCTTATCGTCCCAGTAAAATTTCCTTTCATTTGGGGTTAAAGGCTATGAAGAGATTAGCTAAGGTGCTATTTTTCACCTTTAAATTGTTTGAAAGATGGTTGCAATTTCAACTTTTTACCTTGTTGAACTGGCTCCCCCAGTTTTCTAAAGTGGTTAGGATGTATATTGTGTACAGTTAATGATTACACATCTCTAGAATGTATTTCATGAGGAAGGCTGAGATTTTAACAGGAAAATTATCGATTTTAAAACTTACTGTAAAAAACTTGATGTAGTTAAGGTTAGGAATTGTGCTAAAAGTAGGTACATGGATGTGAAATGTCATTCAACAGCAAATGTTTCTTGAACCCCTTTATGCAAAACACTGTCAGGCCCTAATTTCTAAGTACTATGTACTTTGCGGGGGTGATGGAGCAGGGCTTGAAGAATGGCAGGGAGGTTCTGTATGTGGGATGTGTTCATGGGTATGGAAAGGGAGTTTTTTTAAAATGTTCATTAAGCTACTTCACTAGGATCTTTTGTTTGCTAACCAGAGTCCTTTTGCCGTAACTATTTGGTCTGCATGAACATCCATAAGTTATTTTGAGTTCATCTCTAAATTTGCAAAATATAGTCCTGTCTTTAAGTGAAAAATGGAGCTCTATCCCTGGGGGAAATATTCAAGCTGTAGGTGAATTGGCTGTTTTGCATTATTGTAGTGGTACTAATAAATTGAATTATTAAAAGTTACTTAATATAATAAATGCAGGGACCATTACAGTATTTAACATACCAGTTTTCTCAACAAGGGCAGGCCTGAAGGTGATTCACTGTTTGCATTTGGGCAAATTTAAAGGTAAAAAGTTAAAAACCAAACCAAAACCCTAGCAGCTTATAAAAGGGGACTTGGAGGTCCATTGTCAGTCTGCCTTCCTTTGCAGAATGCAGCTGGAGGTTTTGTATAGATAAGTACCAGAGTATTGTGTTAAGTAATATGAAATTATCATCTGTAGGTCAAAAGTTGTTGAATGTTCACATTCCATGTGCTTCAAACTAATGATAATTGGTAGAGAAGGTGGGACCACCAATTATTAACCCAGTGATTTTGGTTTTATTTTGTTCTTTATCTTTTTGCCTCTGCTATGGCCAAAAGTAAAGGGCCTTCAGTCCAGTTTGTCATGCCGTTAGGATTGGTTTTTCAGGAGGGAATTTTAGAAGTGGAGTCTATGTGAAGCTACCTTCCAAGGGGGTTCATAATATGGAGTTTGTAAGTTTCACCAGCACTGAGTGAAATTTCTTTAGTCAACCATACAAATCAATATGATGAATGTTTAGGTAGCAGATAATTCTGAGTGCCTACTGTATGCCAGGCATAATAAGCAGAAGCAGACATTGCAGACTTTCTCGCTAATGCTTAATTATCAGTGGTCCCTGAAAAGAAAAAAAAGGGTGGATCCTACAGCCCTGCCTTTTGACCTTGACTGGATCCTACTAGGTAAGGGAGCTCAGAAGTAGATATAAAATGGGCAGAGGAGTTTGGCAACCCTGTGAATTCTGGTGATTTACAGGAGTTTGCTATTAAAACAAACCCTCCAGCTAGTAGGTTGTTTTGTCTTTTAAGGCAAACTGTTTTTCATTGTTGGAATTTTTCTTTTCACTGAAGAATCCTGCAGGAGAAATTAGACCAGCCGGTCTCTGCGCCCCCGTCGCCTAGAGACATCTCCATGGAGATAGACTCTCCAGAAAACATGATGCGCCACATCAGGTTTTTAAAGAATGAAGTGGAGAGGCTGAAGAAGCAGCTGAGAGCCGCTCAGTTACAGCGTATGTAGCCTCTGATTTCACTGGTCTTCTGAGTACAGAATTAATCCATTTCCCAGCTACAGGATTTTACCAGTATTTACCATTGAATTTGCATAAATCAAATCCATACTGTATTTCATTACCAGTACATGTGTCTAGAAATCTTTCTATCATCTTGGAATAGATTATTTTTGAAAGTATTATAGTGGGACAAGGCAAATAGTTTAGAATACTTCTAGAAAATCAAATAATTTGAGGAGGGTCCAGAATCAGGCACTATTATTAATCTTCTGCCCCATGTTCATCTCTAAGATTGCAGTAACAAATGTACTTTTGGGGAATTAAGGCAGAGAATATAGTATTTATTTTCCTTACTACTAAACTTTAGCATCAGATAACATCTGTTCATCATACTTGAGGAATAAATGCTTTAAAAATTTATACTGATTATTTTGGAAAAGGTCAAGATGTTGAGTTAGAAATCAAAGGAACTAGATTTCTGAACACTTGCCTAGGGCACTGTGTATTTGCTTGGGCTTCTCCTGTTTATGCAGTTGGGTTGCTCATGTGGGTCTGAATAGACCTTGTAGTGAAAGATATGCAGGGAAAAGTAGCTGTCCTTCTCATCCCTGACCCCAACCACCCAGGTCTCACAATTACACAGTTTTTATTTATTTCTTCTTCCAGATAAACTTATTTTATACAAAAAGTAGCACAATGAACACACTCTTGTATTTTTCTTTTTTTTACTTACTGTATCTCGTAATTTTTTCCTTGCTAATACATAGAGATGTCTTACTCCTTTTCTAAAAGGATGCTTGGTATTTGGTTAAGTGGATACACTAGTGCCCCCAGACCCCCAGTTTCACTTCCCGTGGTGTCCATTACCTGTGGTCAACTGCAGTCCAGAGGCAGATGGTTCTCCTCCTGACTTAGCATCAGAAGGTCAGTAGTAGCCTGATGATATGTCACATGCCTGTGTCATTCACCTCACTTCCATCTCCTCATGTAGGCATTTTATCATGTCACATCATCACCACAAGAAGGGTGAGTACGCACAGTAAGATATTTTGAGAGTGTCAGAGACGAAGACCTTCCCTTGCCCTTCAAGGTCCTTCTAGTCAGACTAAGAATCAAATTGACATGAGACAGATTAACAGGAGAAAATCAAATTTAATAGCATACGTATGGGAAATCTACAGGCAACAGGAAGCTTATTTGGACAAAGGGAGGAGGGTTCTGAAGATACAAAGGAGAGACAGACCATCAGGAGGAAGGTGAGAGGAGATGTTTGGAAAACAAAGCCCTATTATGTAGAGAAGTTTCTTAGGTAAAGAGGAATCTCTATTTATAGCTCTCTTTCTGGTACAAGCAGGCATTGGAGGGGAAGGTAAAGAGCTTTTCCTAAATCTGCTGGGTTTGGATTGTTTTTACTTCAAAATAATGTTCGTGCCAAAGTGGCCCATCTTGGGTGGCCTGCCCTCCCTACAAGAGAGATGGAGACAACTTCATGTAGCTATAATTGTTATTATAAATTGTTCTATTTTGTTATTACTTTGTTGACCTCTTACTGTGCCTAATTTAGAAATTAAACTTTATCATAGGTGTGTATATTGAGGAAAACACCTAGTATATGTAGGGTTTGGTGCCCTCCTTGGTTTCAGGCATCCACTATGGGATCTTGGAGTACATCGCCCTTGGATACCTTATACCATAATTTAGTTAACACCAGTTGTGATGCTGCAACCACAGTGGACATCTGTGTCCACACATTTGATACCTGAGCAAGAGCATCTTCAGGAGAAACTCCAGAAGTGGATTTGTTGAGTCACGTGAATGTGCGTTTAAAATTTTGGTGATTCATACATACCTTAACATTGTCTTCTCTAAAGTTCACTGCAGACTCTAGTCCAGTAGTGCATCTGGGATGGTGACTCAGGATCATCCTTGGAACCTTTAAAAAACAATGTTCATTTCCTCTTGTTGCTGTAACAAATGACTGCAAATTTAGTAGCTTAAAACAACACAAATATATTACCTTTCAGTTCTGGAGGTCTATAGTCCAAGATATCTCTCACTGGGCGAAACTCAGGCTGTCAGCAGGGCTGGTTTCTGGTAAAAGGCTCTAGAGAGACTCTGTTTCCTTGTTTTTTTCCAGCTTCTAGAAGCTGCCTGTACTTTTGGGTCATAGTTCCTTCTTACATTGGCATCACTTCTACCTGCATCTAGGATTGCATCTTTTCACTCCTGCTCCCCTGCCTCCTTCTTACAAGGACCCTTTGATTACCTTGGGCCCAGCCAGATAATCCACGATAAATTCCCACCCCAAGGTCCTTAACTTCGTCACAGCTACCAAGTCCCTTTTGCCATGTAAGGTGACATAATCCCAGGCTTCAGGGATTAGGATGTGGACATCTTTTGGGGGTCCATTATTCTGTCTAACCTCATACAGACTCTGGGCTTACTCTAGGAGTACAACCTGGTCCTCCATTTGTTTCAATACAAAGAATTCTGATGTGTACCTCGGGTTGAAAACCACTACATATATTTCATGAAAACAAATCAGTTTTCAAATACTAGTTATGTTAGGATATCTTTTGAGTTTTTGGTGTGTCAGATGTCTTTTAGCCCCTTTCTGAACTTCCTCCAGTGCTGTCAGTTTACAGTTCTTTCTCATGTATACTTATGCCCCAGACAAAACTTTTAGAAGAAATTGGGGAAGAATTTTTCATTCCCATAACTTTCTTCCTACGGCACTATTTGGTCTTTGAAGAGACTGCAGATGACTACAGGAGCATCCATAAGTGCTATTTCAATTTCATGAGGGCAGAGAAAGCTGAATGGAAGAAGGGGCATGTGGTTCCCTGCTGCTCACATTTGGTCTGGATTGGTTGAGAAGATGAGTTAGTGACTTTCCTTCATCCTCCAGAGGTCAGTTACCCCACCTCTCTGCCATGTTGCTGGGACAGTTGGCTCCTTACCCTCCAAGTCCAGCGGTGTCAAAACTTGAACCTCTCTCCCAATAGTTCTTCAGCTCTGGATAAACATGAAAATCCCTTGGGGGCTTTTCAGTATCCCAGTGGAGAGGCTTTATCCTCAGGATTCAGATTTGTTTGGGGTAGGATCTGGGCATCAGCATTTTCTAAAAGTGTAAACTTGAAAGGGATGCAAAATGTACAGGCCACCTTTGGATCATATGGGAACTGCCTCTTTGGAGTCTGTCTGGAAGTCATCCTCTATTGATGCTAACTTTGTGACTAAGTGTTCCAAGATGGCTGAAAATGGGGGAAGCATCGACTGTGCCCCCTGAGTCCTGGGAACTCTGTGAGAGAGGGTGAGAGGGTGGTGACTCACTCATGGGAGTAAATCCAGTCTCTTGAAATCCAGTGTGGTGGTGTGCCAGCAGAGGGCACCCAAGGAATACCGTGGTGTCAGCCATCTGAGGCTAGCGCTGTAACACTCAGAGGTGTTGGGCCTGGTGCTTTCTCTGTCCTCTAGCTTCTGGGTTAATTGCCCAACTGCCATGAAAGTCCTCCAGCCATCACTCCTGCTGATTGATGTTCTTGTGTATAGATTATTAAGTATTCCCCTGCTGATTTCCTCGGATGCTAAAGGATTGCATCTGAAAGACAGTGTTTCTCTTAAATGATTGTTCTTGAAGCCTCATAAATCCTCAGTTCTCTGAAGCTTTCCTATTTATGGAAAAGAAAGGCAACTTGCTCCAACAGCCGTCCCTCTTGTTCTAGAAACAATAATACTCCAAGGGGCCAATCTAGTGCTTCCTGTAGAGCTAGTGAAAAATTCTGCATGCTTGCATATTTGGGATGAAATAATTTAAATCATTTATATTAAAAGTGTACTTTGTAAATATTTTCCCAGCATGCCTTCAATTAAAGAGATTTTTGTATCTGGATTAGACAGCAGGGTTTCTGGTTATATTGAAAACAACTGAGGGATTTAGTGTTTAGTGCACATAACTGTTTAATAATTTTGGTATTTTTATTTGTATTTCTAAAATAAGGGTATTCAAGAACTTTTATATGTTCTGTAATGATGTGGTCTTAGAAATCATTGAATACTTAGCATCAAAAGTCATTATTTGTTAAAACAGCAGAACTTCATAGAAGTGCTTAAAACTGAAAGTAATTTGGACTGTAGAGTTGAAGTAGGGTCACTTTGTGGGGAAGAGGTGGTCATTGTGGCATTCCACACCTTCCTTCCTTCTTAAATTTGGAGTGGGCTAGTAATATGGAGCAATAGTTTATAGGACTGTTTCCTCAGCATGACCATGACCGCTCTGAGTTTGTAGCTATTTTTTAGAAATGAGAAATAGGTGGAGATTTTATTTTTCCCAGGATGTTCATTGGCTGAGGGAGGGGAAAAGGATGCAAGCAAGATGGGTTGACCCTACATTTTGTATTAACATTATTTTGGTGACTTAGTAACAATACATTCTGTCAGATGTAAACCAGCAAAGGGCTGGGGGTGGTCACGTTTTACTGTTAATTGGAATGGTGCCAGAAAGTACCCCACAGTCCTGCACAGAGTGATCTCAGAAGGGCGGGGGTTGTGAAAGCTCCAGAGAATTCAGCACAAGGACATTGTAGAGCCCCATGAAGATGTCAGTTCCACATTTCAGATTTCTGTATGGAGAATCTGATGGGCTTGGCTTGGTTCCATCTAGCCCTGAGGCTAATTGACCCCGGTCCAGGAGACGGGTACTGTAGCAGAGGCCTCGCTCAGTGGGGCAGCTCCTGAGGAACAGGAATTTGTCATAAGCAGGACTCCGTCCCTGGAGCCTACCTGCACACGGGTCTGTACCTGCGGTCTGACTCAGGCTGTGCATGAGTCAGGGAAGTAGAGTCACACACACCTGGAAAGTTAGACGTGACATATTCATCTAAAGCTATTCACTATGTCAATTTCTATTTTTATAAAGAGAATTCTAACCTACCAGGTGTTCTAGTAGCCTGGTTCTCACTGGTGTGCTAACAGGCTGATGGGCTCCCTCTGTGTCTGGAGCTGAGGGGCAGCAGAATTGGTGCCTCCTCGAGGGGAGCCCAGGGCTGACGCAATTTCCCTGGCTGGCCCCCTCCCCCCTCAGCTCCAGCGTCGCCCTTACTTGGCTCCAGCTCCACCATTTCCTCTTCCACAAACATCACTTTAGAAGGCAAGTAAGTGGGAGTGAAGGTGCCTAACCACTCCGAGTGCCGCTTTGTATGCATGTGTTTTTCTTAATGCAAACCGTGGGTAAACTTCAACACGAAGGGGAAGCCTTAGATCCAGATCTCCCCGGGCGAGAGGGTAGGGGTGGGGGAGAGCCGCTGCCTCAGCATTGCTGCTGGGCGGCCCTCACAGTACACGTGGCGGTGTGACGGCGCCTGCTCTGGCCGTGGTCTAATGGAGAGCTCTGGCCTTTCAGATTCCGAGAAGATGGCGCAGTATCTGGAGGAGGAGCGCCACATGCGGGAAGAGAACTTACGGCTGCAGAGGAAGCTGCAGAGGGAGATGGAGAGAAGGGAAGCCCTCTGTCGGCAGCTCTCTGAGAGCGAGTCCAGCCTGGAAATGGATGATGAAAGGTGTGCACGTCCTCCGAGCCTTGTGGAAAAATAAAGGAAACCAGGCCCCGAGAGGTCTCCCTTCGCATCCTGCTGGATGTGGAAGGAGATGGCTCGCGCTCGCCGTGGTGCCACCGCCGCATCCAAGTAGATGCTGAGGATGGGGAAGTGAAGAGCATTGGCCATTTTCCTTAATCACAGACCGAAAAAAAAAAAAAAAAGGTCTTTTCAAAGTTACTACTTGGTAGTAGTAGTCTTAGTTGAGCAGCTATATTGTATACTGAACTAGGAATGACAATGTCACATTTGAGAGAAAGAAAATAGTTGGAAACTTGAGATGTCTCCAAGTTGTTTATTCCTTAAAGATGAAGAGGTGTTTTTCATTGCCGAGCAGGATGTAGGTGCCACCACGGTGGGCTGCCCTGGAGGGGCAGGAAGAGTCAACAGTGGGTAGCTGAGAGATGTATGTGAAATTTCAGAGCCTGGTTTTCTTTAAGCCACATAAACCAGCATGGAAATGGCTGTGTTCATGTTCTCATAAACTGATTGACAATCAGGGCTGAGATCTTCCCTGGCATAAAGATGTCTGCACACACGGCCATTTCTTCCTTTGGCTGTACGGCCTCTGAAGGTTAGCTTACTGGGAAGTCTCTCAAGCAGAAATCTCTCCTTGTCAGCATTCTGTGCTTGTTCACAGCATAAAGGCTGACTTCCCTAACAATCATGCCTGAGTATTCTCAGGTCTGATGTGACTTCCACATCCAGGAGGAATGGCGTGGTCAAGTGTGGCTGCGGTACATGTGCTGTGCTAGTGTCTGTTACTACAGTCTAGCGTGTGACTGTTTGTTAAGCAAAGCTTGTCTTGTAAATGATTGACTTCCAGTTCATGAGAATACCATTATCTTTAAGCTTTAATTTGATGACATAAATCTTAGAGGGCTTGTTTGGTTTTGAGTTTCAAATAATAATTTAAATGTAGCCATTAAAGCATGGATGTGTCTGTAATTCTTGGGATAGCGGAGGTAGACTTCTACATAGCTGTTGTGTGAGGAAGGAAAGCCCAGTCCTCTCTGTTGACTGGAGCAGTTCTGTTGGCAAGCCTCCACCTGGAGCTAGAACATTCCAAATTCCCTAGCCCGTACCCCTAGAGAGAGGACTTTGCCAAGCGGTGGAGCTGTGTGACCCCCAAGTCCACTGTATACATGTCTCCTAGCTTTGTACATCACTCTCTAAATACCCCGAGTTTGACCTCAAAATATGAACCCCCAACATTTTCTCATAGGAGGTCTCTTAGGAACTACTGAAGTGCAGACAGTTCTGATAATCTCCCCCCTCTCCTTTTAGGTATTTTAATGAGATGTCTGCACAAGGATTAAGACCTCGCACTGTGTCCAGCCCTATCCCTTACACACCTTCTCCAAGTTCCAGCAGGCCTATATCACCCGGTAAGTACACATCCTCAGCTACTTCTGTGACTGATATCTGGGACATCTAATAGGCATCTCCAAATATGTTCCCCTCCAGCATGTAAAAATCTTGTAAACAGAGGGTGAATGGTCCTGTGTTTTTCAGAAACATCTAAAACAAATCACTATCAAGACTGAGTTTTAATCTGAAATTTTTAAGCATAAATTTTATTGTGCCAGCTGGTGTTTTTAGATTGTTTGTTGTTGTTTAAAAAGAATTTAACTCCAAAAATTCTTTTTAAAAAGACGGTCTTAGACTGATTTTAAGTGCCTGTGGATTGACAAAGCATTGGATAGATGTTTTCTAAGATGGATCATAGCATATCTCCTGTGGGTTCTATTGTTATGTTGTACGTACGTTATCTCATTTTTATCCTCAGAATAGTTCATATAGGCATCATTTTTCTCATGTTAAAATTGAGGAAGCAGTGATTCAGAAATTCATTGGCTATTGGTCTTAGATCCAAGGAAATTGCAAGGCAGGGTGGCTCTTATTTCCAAAGCTTGTATTCTTTTGAGCACAAGCTGCCTCCTGATAGTCCCACTGATGGGTGAGTGGGACCGGGCCCTAGTAGGCAGGCCATGCAAGAAGGAACTGGCCTTGCTTTTGGCTTTGCTTCTGCATCTGGCTTTGCTGCTCAGAAGCCTTTCCCTCAAAGGCGTGCTTGTCTTCATCTGACCCCGAAAACTCTCTCCCCCCAGGGTCTCTGGCTCAGAACCAGCACAGCGTGGGGCTCTCGGGCCAGGAGGGCAAGTAAATGATCCAGCAAGGAAGAAAGAGGAAGCCGGGGGCGGGGGTGGGTGAGTGGAGCGGAGGGAGGAAAGAAAAGGTAGCAAGCCAAAGGATTGTGTCTTGTGACCGAGGGGACGAGTCTGAGTTTCTTGTCCTTGCTGGTAAACAGATTTTAAACAGAGTTGGGGAAAAAGAGTGTCGGGGGTAGGAGTTTCACAGCGGAATAACGCGAGGTGCCTGCTTGGAAGAGTGGCACAGGAAAGGCTTTGTGGTTTTGGAAAGTAAAACAGCTACATGTTAGGTACAGCCTCACCTTGTCTGTTGCAACACTGACAAAGAGGAATGCCCTTCAGGTGGATGAGGGGAAATGCTACAGTAATGCACGTTGCCACAGACATGCTGTGAGGTTAGGATCTCAGCCCTGTGCTATACTGCTGTGACCTTTTTTTGTTTGTTTTTTAAGAGGAGAAATCAAAAGAATGTCCAGCACAAAGCATGACAACTTTTGTCTGGTTCAGGCAGGGTAAAGAGGAGCTGTTTGCAAACCAAAAGGACTTCGTATCATAGATCAATGCATGATCATCTCCCCCTTGTTCTTGCCCAAAAGGATGTTCTGGAATCTGTTTCTCCTGTTCTCTCATGGCCTTTAAATCTCTCCGAAAGCTCCTCTGCCTTGCTGCCTCTCAGTTTTCCCCAAATAATGCTTGGGTTTCATTACCATGATAAAAGTCTTTGCCTTCTGATTTATTGATATAAAAGGAAGGCATGCATTAGGAAGAAGCAAGATGGGGGTAGCTTTTATAGTTGATGGTGATGTTGATTCATATGAAGTATAATTTAGCCTTCTGTTTGATTTATTTAAACCTGAAGAAATCCTTAGAGACATGTATTTTCCAATTCATTAAACCTAATGTGGTCATTGAATAAAAAAAAAAAAAGCAAAAGTCAGACCTTGGCTGGGAATATTAACTTCTATTGTAACATATCTTCTATAGGAAGATCTTACTCTGTGTACATAATTTTGACTGTCACTGCACCTGTCCCTGTAGTGTGGGACGTGCCTGTATAGATAAGCCATTTGCTTTTTCCTTAAACTAAGTAATAAGTAACACCTAGATTTTTTTTCTTTCAGCCAGCCTAAGTGAGAAGAACATGTGTGTCTTATTTTAAGCTCGATAATATCATCGAAGTTGATTTTATCTCGTACTTGGCAGCAGAATTACTCCTAATCTAGTCCCTTGCTGTCCCATACGTAGTTCATCAGCAAAACGTGAATTTTCAAGTTTGCTTTTCAATTTAGTTTTTATTGGAAGAAGTTGTGGTTCTTTGTATTAAGAATCTGTAATCACTTTCTTAGTAGAATTACATTATTCATAAAAATAGTTTCCATTTCCATGCTAAGCATTTTGGCTCGTTTCTTCCTTTACCATTGCTGATTAACATTGGCAATCTCGGGTTTCATCAAGTTGTTGAAATGTTTTAAGTTCTCTTTCAGTTTGACTGAAAAGTGTATTTCCTAGAATTTACGAAAGATCCTTTTAATAATATGTGGTGTTACATATGTGGATTATATATGAGCAGAGTATTACTTGTCAACAGTTATCTTTCAGGTTGTCCATTATTTGATGCAGCCTGACAAAAGACACTCCCAATTAGCATATTTTGATGTGCCTAAATCAGAGATGGGGACTAAGGAAGTTTGAAAAAGGGTCTACACCGCAGTAGCAACAAGCATACTCACTGCTCAGATCTTGGTTTTTAATTCCATTCTCCAATGAAAAGAACTGGATGTTTCTAGGGCTTAGAGAAGGGGATATGCAGGATGAACCTGAAAAATCTGATAATGCTGCCAAGTAAGGAGGTGCTCAAAAAACAAGATGAAGGTATGTGAAACAGACCCAGGAGCCAACCAAAAGAGCTCCCTGAGGCCAAAGCTGGAACTGTTGGAGCAACACAAGAAATAATGTCATGCTGGGTTATAACCCAAACATAAAACAAACATCCATGAGTTCATACTAATATAAATAAGTGACTGAATAAGTAAATAAGGGAGAAGAGACAAATCTCCCATACAGAAGAATTCCAAATAATTTTTGGATACTCTATTGTTAAGGCAGTGGAAATAACTCTTCACTCTTTTAAGCGTGGGCTGCACATAAGGTCTTCCTTCCAAAGAATAAGTATGGAAAAGGGGACAAAAAGAGTAACCTTACCATGGAGGAACCTGACATATGTGACCTCAGCCAGGCCATCGGGGTCCACATCGACAATGGGGAGCCTTGTCGGGAGTGTGTATCCTTGATGTGAAAATAGCATTTCACCTCTGTGGTCTTACTCTGTAAACACCCGTAACCCCAGCTGAGCCATGTGGAAAACATCAGACACATCCAGATTGAAGGATAGTCTGTCTATAAAATACCTCATCAGTATACCCCAAATCTAACAAGCTCCTCAAAAACAGGGAAAATTGAGGAACAGTCTCAGCCAAGAGGAGCCTAAGGAGACATGGCAATTAAATATAAAGTGTCATCCTAAATGGGGTCCTGGAACGAAAAAAAGGACATTAGGTAAAACCTCAGGAAGTCCAGAAAAGTATGGACCTGAGCTAATAATAATAATATTAATAATTAATAATGTATCAGTAATGGTTTATTAGTTGTGAAAAATGTGTCATATTGGCATAAGATGTTAATAGGGAAATCAGAGTGTGGTCTATACAGGAATTCTCTGTACTGTTTTTGCCACTTTTCTGTAAACCTAAAACTATTCTAAAATTAGAAGCTTACTTAAAGTTTTTTTAATGTTTATGTTATTTTTGAGAGACAGAGCACGAGTGGGGGAGGGGCAGAGAGAGGGAGACATAGAATCCAAAGCAGGCTCCAGGCTCTGAGCTGTCAGCACAGAGCCCAAAATGGGGCTCGAAATCACAAACCGTGAGATCACGCCCTAAGCCGAAGTTGGATGCCCAACCGACTGACCAACCCAGGTGCCGAATTTACTTACTTATTTTAAATGTTTGTTTATTTTGAGAGGGAGAAAGAGTGTGTGAGTGGGAGAGGGGTAGAGGGAGTGAGAGAGACAATCTTATGCAGGCTCTACCCTGTTAGTGCAGAGTCCAACATGGGGCTCAATCTCAGCAACTGTGAGATCATGACCTGAACCGAAATCAAAAGTTAGGCACTTAACTGACCTAAGCCACCCACATGCCCCTAAAAGTTAATTAAAAAACAAAACTAACAAACAAAAAACTGCAGAAATAGATGAGATCTCACCTAGTCATAATAGATAAAAGGAGCAGAGAAACACCCTCCTGTCTGATCCTGAAGCAACTGCAATATTTAGAGGTCAAGTTCAGGAGGAAAAACTGGCAAAGGAGATTGGGAAGTGGCTACCAGGGGAGTGGAAGGAAAAAATTGGAATACGATCTCACAGAGCCTTTCAACAAGAAGAGAGTGGTCACCTTCATCAGATGTTGTCCAAGGTCAAGTAAAATGAGGAGTGGAGAGTGGTTATTGCAGCTGGCAGAGCAGAAACACTGCTGACATTGCAGGAGCAGTCTTGGTGGAGGGATGGAGACAGAGCCACATTAGGGAGATTTAAAGAGGAAATCCTGTCTATATTGTCTGTGTTTTTGCAAAGACAATGTTTTTATGTGTGATTTGTAGAACTAAAATCTCTTAAAATTGTAATTTAAAATAATCTTAAAAGGAAGAAAAGGTATATCTGCCTTTAGTCCAGTTTTACATTTTTTTTTTCATTAGCAAAAAGATACTAAAGAAAATTTGGGGACAATCGGAAGGATATAAGCAGAAATAAAGTCCCTCTTTCCAGAGTCCAGAATCCCTCTATCCAAAGGTGGAGTTAATATTTTAGTGTTTCCAGTTGTGTCCTTTCCCTACCCCCCTCCTCTTACAATGTTCCTTTGGAGAGGTGGTTTCATACAGATTATATATATTTTGTATTTGCCTCATTTTGCTTAGTAGTTTTCCTCATGAACTGCTTTTAATTAATCATCTTTTAATTTTGCAGCCTTGAGCTTGTGGACAGTGAAATAAGTCTTAACATTTTTACTTTAGTTAATGCATTTCTATGAGAGCCAGAGAAATTTATCGTAGCAATAACTTTGAAAAGCCGTAGTATTCGTTAGTAGACTGGTATTTGGGGGTTGGCATTTTCAACCTAGGTATTTGTGTTCTCATCCTGTATTTTTTCTTTTGTTTTTTTTGTTTGTTTGTTTTTTGTTTTT